GTAAAATTTAAGATGGCGTCAGCGTAGAAATGGGGAGTCGCACGGGTTTAAGCCGACTCGTACGTTTCTTGGGGCCGCCGGCACGCCCTATGAGCGGCCCCGCGGCTGCGAGACCGGTGTCCTGGTCCACCTCCCTCATCCGCTTCACCGGGTGCACCTTCTGCGCAACCGTCTTCTTCTCGCTCTCAGACTTGTAGGTGGCGCCGGCGGTGCCGTGCAGAGCCTGCTTGCGACGCACGTCGCGCGGCGGCTTCGCGGCGGAGTTAACGTACGCCATCTTTGTTGTGCGCACTGCAAACAACAGGCCAGTCAGTGTGATTGCACAAGTGGCGACAGGCTGTGAAGTGCAATGCATTAAGCTTCCAGGATTGAACTTTTTAAAGGATTTATTTCGAAATCATTGCTCCATAATGCACAATCTGTAAAAAAAATATAGCGAAATATAGTCTCACTTCGTAGCGGATATATTACTGATTACACCAACTTGAAAAACACTAAGAATTCATGCTGTTATAGCATTGAAAATTGGAATTGAATACGCCGTAACGCCATGGCATATTTGATTATAGCGACAATTAATTTGCAAATGGTGTTTTTTGCACCCATAGTGCACCTAATTCAAACAAAAGGGCATCTGATTCTGTGTAGCTTACTCCGGTTTTTTTTAATTGGCCAATATCTCGTGCTATCGCGAGATAGTCTGAGATTCGCAAGAAATGGAGGCCGAAATCAAAAATAGTAATCAAAATTCGAATCGTGCTGGTTACATATAGCTAAGCCTAGTACGAAGGTTCTAAGACATGTTAGCATTACTCTAGACAGTCGCTGTTACTCAAGGAATAACAGTGTAGCGGTCATCACAGTACTGCAATACATAAACAAGGATTAAAGCGTAATCACAGGCTTTATTGTGCATGTTACCCATCTAAAATATTTTTTCAAGACTTCCCCCCCCCCCCGCCAACTTGTGTCTTCTTATGAAATTTCCTTGACGTGGTCAAGCAAAATAAGGTTCCCTGATTTTTCCATAATTACTAGCTGACCACGAGTTACCAAAGTGAACCTCTCTTGCAATAACTTTGCACTGAATCTACCAGTCCCACGCGCTTTGATCAACGTCTTAATCACTAGCTTGCTCACGAATTCGCTCCTGCCATTGTAATTGGTTACGTTCGCTTGTTTAGAAACATTTAGCATCACCTGGTGCGGCTTCGGCAATCGACTTTGCTTGGATTTTGACAGTGATGTTCTTCAGCTTTGCCTCTCTCTCGTCATGTAGCCTCTACAAAGACACATCGCCACTGTCAGTATCATATTACCTCAATCACAAGCGCAACCTCTTGGTTCATTGGGCCCTTGGTGTTTTTGCCACACCCTACTTGAGTAACACTGAGAAATGGATTGTGTGATCCTTATATAGACTTTAGTCAACTGTGGTTTACAACTACAAGCAACTATATGCAGTCAACCAGAAACTTCACAGACACTACTGATGGCTTGCTGTTGACGTAGGCAAGTATAAAATGTTTGAGAAACCTTTCTCTTATCTGGCCTGTATTCACTTTTTTCTATGGACTTGCCAGTTCACTCCACAGTTGTCTGTAATTGTGCATACTTGCCTGTGACCTCTATCCCTGGTTTTGCAAAAGGCAGTGGCTACGGGTACGGTAGCCGTATCTTAATGTCTCGAGACTACGGGTACGGGAGTCCATTCGCTTTCATACTTAACGAGACAAAGATGGCGGCGGTGGCGCGAGATTTCGAAGTAACGCCTTGGGAAATAAATTCACGATTTCAGAGTTTAGATGAGCTAGAACCCTAACCCTAACCCTAACCCTAAACCTAACCCTAACCCTAACCCTAAACCTAACCCTAACTCTAACCCTAACGCCAAAAAGGGGCTTCAACCGTTCTACCGTACCTGTAGCCACTGGTTTTGCAAAACGTCTGTACTTTTCATTTCGTAGAGTGAAAGCTGCTGTATGATCAATTAGAGCGATACTGTGACCTGTGTAAAATTCAGGTGCATGCTGTATGTATGAAACATGTGGGAAATACTTACCAGGTACACTTCTCTCCAAGACTCCATATCGTCAGGCAGCTTGTTTCGAAACTCCTTCGTGCAGTGAGATTTCCACAAGACGTCCGTTTCTCCTTCCTCCACCAGGTGCTGAAATCATCATGATAAATATGAGCTGTGATGTCATATATCACAGACATTATGTTTGCCTGCCTGGATAATGATGAATCAGATAGGTGGCGCCATGTGTACTTACTCAATACTTCTAAGGTAAGCTGAGCCAGTAATACAAGTTGACAGTTGTCAAACTATCAAACAAAGAATAGAAAGCACTGTCTTACCTTTCATCTAGCAAATTTTCGTTTAATTTTAACAAGAAAAACTATTCATTAAATAAATATCTCTAGCAGTAAGTATAATTATACGTATATATGCAGATACGTTATATATCTGTATGTGTAGTCATTCTACGCACATAGATGCTTTTATAGTAATAAACTAACAGGATTCAAGTCCTCGATGGTGTAGAGCTGGGTCGACGTGCAGCGCTCGAGTACCGGCCTTAAGATATCAAACGGGATGCCACCGACGTAGTCTATCACTGCAGAGAAGGCCGTGATTATTGTGAATATTCACATCAACTTAGCTCAGTTATGCAAATAGCTCCACTTAGTTTTCGCATCAACATTCGACTAGTTAGTATCATGAAAGACAGAACACTTAAGAACTTGGGAAACTTGGGAAGTGGATGTGTTAATTGATAGCCGTGATGAACGTATGTACGTCAGACACGTATTTTGGATATCAGCACTGTGATGTTCCATGTCCCCAACACTTACAGTCAATGTTGTCAATGAGCACACGAATGCAGGATTGGTACAATGATGAAACTTCTGAAAAAAACAACGAAATATGCTCAAGATAAGGACAAGCCTATAACATTAGTAAGACTATTCGAGCTCCATTTACAACCAGTCTGCAAAATTCCATAAAATCGATAAAATAACCAAATAGTCCATAAAATAACACGATATAGAAACGCTGTGTTATAAGCTCACTACATGTACCTTAACTCCAAGATTTCATTTTTAGGTATTTTACCTGTGAGATGAGTTGTCACTTTCTTTCCAGAGTACATTGCTGTCCTGCTCTTCTGTGGCACGATGAATTCGTCAACAGTTAGGGCCGGATGAGCTGAAAATACCCCACATTTTTTATGTTGAGGCTTTACTTTACCGATAAGGTGCTACAATAAAGGGGGCTACAGAGAGCACAGTGACACGAGCCATGTGGAAATCATACCTCCAAGAATAAGCTATTGTACAAATAAACATCCACGCTTATTTCACACCAACCTTCAAACTTGAAATCCAAAGCATATCCAATGCTTATATATCCGATCCGATCCGCTCCGCTCCGATCCGATATATATATATATATATATATATATATTACCAAACACATTCATCACCAATCTATTTCTTGTTTGCACATTTTACCACAGTAGACAACGTGGCAAATACCTGCTTTTTACTTCACCATACATTCGCCTTGATTCTTCACCAATCTATTTATTGTTTGCACATTTTAACGCAGCAGATAACGTGGCGTGTACCTGCTTTTTTCTTCGAGCCCTCAGAAATCACAGGGAAATGCATTGGCTTGTAATTGGGCTGTATGCTAGGTAGCGTGGCATCAACATTGACCCCCGGTGTCTTCACCTACAACACAAGAGACGCCATCTTGATCAGTGCTTGACATACGATATTTTTAGATTGTCCTACTATTGTAAAAAAAGGTTATCCTTCATGAATTTCAGTTGTCCTACAACTTTCACCATCGTGACAACCAAACTTGACAATAGATAAGGCTGACCACTGTCAGGTTCGAAAGAGATGTGTAAGAGAGAGAGAGAGTAGATGTCGGAGAGAGGTACAGAGAGAAGTAAAGGTGGTGGAAGAGACAGAGTGACAATCAGAGTCTGCTTCTCTATCAGTACAGGGTTACCCCACTTTTTAACTACTTATCCAACGAGATTAGAAAGAAAAGTTGTACGAGCAACACACAAATTCACAAACCATTTCCTGACTCAATGTCATGATAAGGAATGACAATCCTGCCATTTCAGATATTGTCTAGACTTGTAGTAACCCTATCACATCCATATTGAAATATTCAAACACTTTTACACGTCCAACAACAAAATTTCTTGAAACCTTATGGATTAATTTAGTTTCATAGGTTACTTATCACAACGATCAATCGCAAGACTCATTCGACAACTCTGATGAATTTTAGGACAGCTGAAGCTGTGGCCAGACCAGTGGAGAACGTAAACGAACCTTCTTCTCGGGGGAAGACGTTGGCGACAGCGAGAACTCCTCCCTCTCGTCACGCCTGCGTTGCTCCCGGGAGGCTGCAGACGAAGCTGAAGCGCCGGCGTTCTCCGAGCGCTTGACGACTTTCGTCGAGACGGACTTGACGTCCGCCGGCGCTTTCGGCTTCTTCGTCTTGATCAGCTTCTTCACCTTTCTCTTCGAATCACAGTTGAGCGCGTCCTCAAACGAGAACATGTTGTTTTCCGAGCTGAGTTCGATCTCGCGCGTCCCCGCAGCTCTCGGCTGCTCCGCCGGCGTCTCCGCCGGCGTCTCCCGCCCGTGCCTCTCCCTCGCCTCCTCCGTCCGGCCGCGTCTCCCCGACGTGTCCGCCTTGTGGTGCTGCTTGTCACCGCCGCCGCCGCCGCGTCCTTGTTTACGCCTCTCTCCACGGTCGCCGTGGAGACTCGCCGACTTCACGCGATCGTTGTCGAGCGACGTCGACGCGCGCGATTGGTTCGGCTCCGAGTTCTGCGACTCGGCATCGCCGTGGCGACGCCGCTCGTGTCTGTGCCGCCGTTTCCCCGACGACGAGTGACGCTCCGCGTGCGCTGCGCTCTCGTGTCTGTCCGGCTGAGGACTGAGAACGCTCGGCTCCGGCGCCCACACGTCGTCGTCAGGTGGCGCCTCCTGGTAGACGGGACTACGCTCGGGACTAGAGCTCTCCTCCGCGGGCGCGCTGTTCTCCGGCTCGTCGTTCTCAACCAGCTCCTTCCAGGCCTTGACGAGGATTCGCGCACGATCGCCGATGTCGCCGTCGCTCTTTCGAAACGCGTTCACGGTTTTCCCGATGCCTGTCGCCTGTGAGGTAGAGCAGAGATTAGTACACAGTGCCTGGAATCCACGTCCTAAATGTGCAGTTTTAAGCAAGTCTAGCAGTAGTCCTACAATCACTACTTCTTGCAGCAGATCGTCGACTACACCGTCACAGAAATTGACACTACCACATTGTAAACTTCTCTGCACTGGCAACACGCTCTATGAAACATTGTATGGTCGGATCTCATCTAATGACGTATTCGTATTGTTTAGTTTTACACGTGTACACGCTACGACTTTCGTGCACTTCATTACTAAACATTGTTTTTAGAATATCCCATTTTCATGGAAAAACTTGTCGTGTATGAGTTTTGAGGATCCAATTCCCATCATTGCAAAAGATTCTATGATACTTATAAATGATTTCAGGCATGATTTCCTACAAAGATATTACTTCCTACATATAATATGCAAAATTTGATGGTACAAGTCAATTAAAACAACCGAGTACAGATTTTAACATATACACACCTGTAGAATGGCAACAGTAATGGGCCACCTCTGAAACTTTTTCAGTATCTCCAACACCTGAAATATGAAATGAAATGTTCCTTTTTGTGGCATAGTTTTGTAACCATTGTGACCTTCTAATGATAAGGGGAGTTTTCTGATCAATGTTATGAGTTCTTATACACGGATGAGAGATCACTGTGTGTGATGGATTATGGACCAGCTTGCTCACCACTTAAAGATGAAGGCAATGTACTCACTGGTAATGTAAGGCATGCTACTGACATAGCAACAAGGCATTGTAAATGATACAACTACCCCCACACACAGATATTTCATGTATTTTTGTGGGTGGGTATTTTAGTAGGTATGTGTTCACTGAAGAAGAATGGAAACTTATTGTGGCCACCATTGTGGGGCCACAGGGAACAAGCTCTTCGGAGCTGAAATAACTATACATCAGTCAAGCAACATTAAATACCCTGACATATGTGTGTGCATCCGTGCATGAGTGCGTGTGTACATGCGTGTGTATATATATATAAATATATATGTGAAAGATCTAGTTGAAGATCTGGTACAGAGATACTCAGCAGCCATGTAGATTATGTGGGCAAGAACAATTAAAGGGCTCACAATGCGCATCCCAAACGTAGATCTTCTCCAGCTACTAACACTAAGCCGAAATACTTCGCTGTCAGTGCATAATCACACTCAGGTGAACAATTCAGCCAAAATTTGATAGCAAATGTGCTATACAAATAAATTTGCATAGGCATTGGATAAATTTGTATAGCAATTTTCAGACAATCACAAGTGCAAATTGTACACCGCGAGTGGATGCGTTGCCGGGGGTGTTATGCGTGTCGGCCGTGACGTGACAGCCGCCACAGCCTAGCTTAAGCTAGGACACGACAGCCGATTCTGACGCGTCGTCGGACAGCGGTGTTCTTAAAAAGCCGTGCGAGCTTGGCACTCGCCGCCTCAGAGCAATGCTCGAGTTGAAAAAGAATATCGGGCCGGGCCGAAGTCGAAAGCTAAGCTGACTCGCCCATGTTGGCGCAGTAAAAATAATTGTCTAGAACTTTAAATCAAATGGTTGCATTCCTGAGGTTATATATCCAAACCATTGATGAAATTACAGTTCTAGCGATTGCTGAAGGCGCGGCTATCCGGACTCTCGACACGGCGATTCCTCACATTATATTATCAAAGGGTCGCCGAAGAAGCAGCCGCGCCGAGAGACGCGCAGCACCAGCAGACAGCACGTGGCTGTGTATACGTGCCTGCGGGCGGACGATATTGATTGATGTGACGGGGGGGGGGGGGGGGGGAAAGTAGCGGGATTGTTTAAAAGTTCACCGTTTGGTGTTAACGAAATCAATAAAAATCCGGGCTAACTGGGCGATTGTCATTGACGGGCCGCAGAAGCAGCCCAAACCCGAGAATAAAGTAAATTGTAAACATGTATGTTTCCGTTTACATCTCGCATGGCTGGCTTGCTGCCACAACTGGCGATTTCATAAAAAAATATCGAGCAAATGGCCTGAAAATACATCGGCGAATTGCGATGCGGATACCTGGGAAAAATTATTCCCTGACACTACCTATGCACAAAGATAAACTCTAGTTCCACCATTCCACTGCGCGTTATGCTTAAAAAACCACAAGAATAGAGCGTGAGAAAACTGGATTTCTGGCGCAACGCCCTACAATTGTTTGAAACAACTTAGCCTCACATGTTGCTAACAGGTGTGTGAGCGCAAGAATTGTTGTGTCCCGCGGTCTATATATATGTAGTCGTCTTACTGTTAGATAGATCGTAGTATTGTGAACTGCTGCTATATGTAACATCAAAGACTATTAAGAAAGTATTTATAGGCAGCGTCAAATAACTGTGAACAATAACGTTACTTGATTATTCAGCTTGAGCCTACAGCTGCGAACATTGCCCTAGCCAGCGCTGCAAAGCGCAAAAACGACCACACGGGCCGTAGAAGATCTTTGCCCTACACCGCTGCTGGACGGTTGCCTGCGCAGAGCCCAATCGCAAACGTGTCAACAACATCGGCAGAATTTGAAACACAGGTGGCAGATATTTTCAGAATATCCTTTTATAAGACAACGCGCATGTGAAATGGGAAGCACTAGAGTTTATTTTGTCGATAAGGAGATGTGTGTGACTTATTTCATGCCGACGAAGTATTTGCTAGTCTGAGTACTGGTAGAAATTAGCATTGCGATGTGCATTGGATGAGGCCTTTAACCACATGGTTGTGACTGCATAGAGTATAGGGAAAATGTCACACATTTATCCTATTACTATTAGATCACTGCTGTCATTACACAGTTTAAAAACTGCTTTCCCTTGAAATCTACAAATGTATCTTCTCAAAGTGTTCTACGCAAGCATATTTTGCACACACACACACACATTTTGACCAGATGAAACCAACACAACAGCGTCCTTGTTCGAACCTTTGCATTCCATATGTTCAGTCGCCAGTAATTTGCATGTCACACGCTTTTATGTGGAGCAATACGCAGGCAGGCATGTATGCATGGCAGCTTCATGTGACTCAACTTCTGTGCATATAAATCAGTGCGTAATAAAAGCTAAAATTCTAATAATTTTGCTAACATGTAATAATGAAAGTAAGTTTAAGTATGAGATTATTATTTTCTCAATCCTAGTTAATTACAGACATAGGCCAAAATAACACGCATATTGTTAATGACACGCCAAGTGAATCTAAATATAGTATTACTATTTTTGCTTTCTCTTTGCTTTTTGCTTAATGTTTCCTTTTGTTTTATTTGTTACATTTTATTATTTTGTTTGTATCTTTTGTTTCCGTGCTGTTGTGTCATGCTGTTGTTGTGTGCTGTTGTTTTCTAATGTTGCTAAATATTGAAGCATTTGCTGTGAGATGTTTGCTGTGAGCAATGCCGCAATGGTCCCACACCCTGACATCAGTGAAGTAGATTCTGGTACAAACACTGAAACAGTGCATGATAGTCCTTAGAATGTTAATTCAGATCATTTTAATTTAACTTATGTTAATGGTAATTGTTATGCCACGGCTTTAGTAAAACAAATGAAATGATATCAGACATAACAATAATTAACATTGACATGTACATACTACAAGGTAGCACTGTGACGAATGCAGTCGAGTTGTGTTACAAATGTTGGTACTAATGGTCAAATGTACATGTACACAAATAACATATGAAATGTTTCGGCCTGCATGAGAATTATTGTTGTCATTGTAAAATATATATAGGACCGGGCAGTAAATGTTACAACTTGAAACTGGATACATTTTCTTACTTTGGCCTTATCACAGCCTTTTTCCAGCTTCTTTTTGTAGTGTACGACAGCCGTATGTAGACCTCCGTCAGCCATGTTGCAGGATATGCGGTGTCACACACCGGATAGTCATATCACGTGACATGGTTTACAGGAACCGATGAGTTTTTCAAGAATATGAAAAGAAATAATATTCATCAAAAATACAACAATTTCTCACAGCATGTACAATCGTCATGTACAATTTATTGTCAGTTTATAATTTTAAATAGTTGAACTTATAGCGAATCTTTTGGTGAACCAAGCGTGAGCTAGTTCTGTGTGTAATATAAGGAATATAGACTGGGCTCAAATCTGGGGACTCTACTATATTGGTAGGGTGAAAGGGACGGGGGTCAAGCTAATTGATATTGTTGACAACTTGACGTTTCCATGTAATCTGAGATTCTGAGCCCCAGATAATTTTTGGCAGCATGGCAGCAGTTGTAAATTTTAATAACCAATCTTGCTACATAGATTAGATTAGATAGACGAGCCGACGTTGGTTACCACTGGTAAGTATATCTATAGTCAATAGCCCTGGACGTTTATTCCTTACGGACTGTCCAGTAGAAGTAGAAGTAGAATAATGATAATCACAGTGATCCCTGTGGAATTCCTGATGAGTGATGTTACTTCTGTCCATTTTGAACTTTCCCCATCTACCATCACATTTTGTCTCCTATTTCAGTATTTGAAAGAAAACTTTTAATCCATGTTATCAATATGTCTTTCTTTATACCATATGAATGAGTTATGAGTGTTTAGAGATATGCCTGTAGCTATTATCTATTACTATTAGTATTAGTAATTCTTAATACTATTTTAAATAAGTAAGCTATAGTATATAGTGGTAGTTAAGCCAGGCGCACATTGCCGAACATTTTGCGCAAAACATTATCGTAGCAATGTTCATTGAAATGGTTCGGCCCATGTCGTGTGAGAAAAGTCGCGCCGAACTTTGTTCCGAACAATGTTTTCTGCAAGATCGGGAATGTTGATACCTCGAACATTGTTCGGTCGAATGTTCGTCAATGTGCGCTGATGTCGCAACAATTCTAGGAACAGTTAGCTAAAGTAGCTACCAATAGGCCAGCAACGATATTGTGGTCACATGATTTTTGTGTCCCCAATCATGCACCGATCACGTGGACTTTACAAGCACAGCTACTAGACCGGCGCGCACGGAGGTTGGTTCGCTGCAAAATGCTTAGGCCAATGTGCCTCCCAGCAATTGTTCACCCGCCACGATTGCCAGACGAAAACATTTGCTTCGGGAAAAGTGTTCGGCCAACAGTGGGTCGGAAATTTAGATTTTTACTTATGCGTATTCCATCGGGATACCATGGTATTGAAATTCTGGGTATCCCCCCAAAGACTCTGCGTTATCCCGGATTTTTTTGGCATAGTAATTTCACACAATGTTGGGTATCCAAAATCTTTGAAATATGCAATGAATAGCCATTGAAAATTATTAATATGTAATGAATTAATTATATAAAAAATCTTCCGCTCCGCGACGTACTAATCATTAGTGCGCTTGAGTGCATTCGGCTGAGCATTTCTAATTTTACCATAGTGATATTATACAACACATGGTTGTATATGTATATATATATCTATGACTTTATCATAAACGCCTCTTCTACAGTACACTGCAGAACGTATTGTGCTAGGACGCATTGTCTCGTTCGCCTTGATACGAATCCATGATACAATGTTGTATACACAGAGTTTCACAATTATGATCAACATCGGCGCACCGCCTCGCTTGCAAATAAATGCTATGCCTTGCCTGCGGTATAAAACGCTATTGTGGCCTCAAGTAAATTAGTAACTAAAGGGCGCGCACTCGCCGCTCGCTCAGATGCGCTGCCGTTAAAAGTTGATAAACTCAACGAACACTATTCCTGATTAATGACGATCTTTTTCTTTTACTATCGTCCCGGCGCGGATTACCGCGAAGATTGATCTGGTATCCCGCACTACAAGAATCTGTATTCGCCGCGGCTATCGGTGATACCGCTAATTTCGAGCCCCTGGGCAGATAGTGCCGCAATGGCTTTTAAGCATCGGACTCAATCCACTCTATTTCACATGGGGTACAATTTCGTGTACACGTAAATTAATAATTGTTATAATTTCAGTGCACCATGGGCGAACATAAGGATGTGTCGCTCGGTGTGTTCATACTCGTGGCTTTGTTCGGCATGAGCTCATGGCTCGGGGTTAACAGCATCTGGATGGAGCTGCCTTTGACAGTCGTCCGACTGCCAGAGCTCTGGGCTCTGCCCTCCTACCTAGCAGTCATCCTCCAGGTGGCAAATATAGGTAAACATTAATCATTAAACATTAATCTCACCCTCAGCGCTAGATGTTGCACAGCTAGAATCTGGATGGACATTCATTTAATGTCCATCCAGATTATAGTTGTGCAGCATCTGGTGCTGAGGGCAAGATACTTGGAGAGCAATATCATCTGACTTGTGATTTTACGGAAGCGAACTGTGTGTGTACTACCAAGTTGTGGAAGCTCTTGCAAGTTGTGCGATTGTAGCCATTTGCTCATTTTAAAATGCAATTTCCGAGTACTTTAACTTTCGGCATTTCATGATATTAAATTTGGTCCTGGACACTTTATTTACAGCTTAAGTTACACAGGTACATGGTGGCATCGCCGCAGTTAATTGGCACATAGCGAAAATATAAGGTGTTTAACTGTGTAAAGCCTAGCGCAGACCTGCGATTTTTGGTTGCTTGTCGCT